CCATGCACTAAACTAAAATCAAAGTGGATTAAAGATCTAAATATTAAAACAGAAACACTAAACTTGCTGGAAGATAAGTTAGGTAGAACACTTGATGACTTTGACATAGGAAAAGACTTCATGAACAAATCCTCAGTAGCACGGGAACTAGCACAAAGAATCAACAACTGGGATCTCACCTTATTAAAAAGCTTCTGCACTGCAAGAGAAACTACCAACAGAGCTACAATGTGGGAAAAAGCTTTTACCAGCTGTTCCTCAGACAAAGGTCTACTATTTAAAATATATAAAAAACTCAAGGGTCTGAGGATTTAGCTCAGTGGTTCTGCCACCTGCCTCACAAGCACAAGGATCCAAGTTCGAGCGGAAGAAAAAAAAAACACACACAAAAACCAAAAACTAAAAAAAAAACAAAACTCAAAAAAATCAGACCCCCCCAAATATGAAGACCCAGTTCAAAAATGGGCATCTGAAATGAACAGACATTTCTCAGATAAAGAAGTGAAAGCAGCTAATAAACATATGAAAAAATGTTCAACATCACTGGTCATTCGAGAGATGCAGATGAAAACAACACTGAGATTCCACCTCACCCTAGAAAAAAATGGCTGCTATCAAGAAATCAACTAACAACAAATGCTGGCAGGAGAAAGGAACCCCTCTCCATTGTTCGTGGAAGTGCAGACTGGTGGAACCACTGTGGAAATCAATATGGAGATACCTCAAAAAACTAAGATTAGAGGTCCCATTTGACCCAGCTATTCCTCTGCTGGGTATCTTCCCAAAAGAATTAAAAGCATCATACCACAGCGATATATGTGCACCCATGTTTATAGCAGCACAGTTTGTAATAGCTAAAAACTTGGAAACAGCCCAACTGCCCATCAACTGGAGACTGAATAAAGAAGATGTGGTTTTTTTATAAAATGGAGTACTACCGGTCTAAAGGAGTAGGGGAAGTAGGAGGGGTAGGGGAAAGGAAAGAAGTGAAAAGAAGTAAAATATGAGAAAAGAAAAAAAATGGAAACAAAGTCTTTGTAAATAGGGAAGAGTGGAGGGGGTGAAGGGAGGGCAGAGGAATGGGGAAAAAATAAGAACCAAATACATCATGTAAAGGTACAAGATTCCAATGATGAATGTAACTGTATTGTATGCCTAAAATGTACCAATAAACTTAATAATTAAAAAAAAGAAATTGCATTTGACCCAGCTATATCTTTCCTGGGTATATTCTCAAAAGAATTAAAGACATCATTCTGTAGTGAATATATTTGGCATGGTTATCTGAGGAATATCTATGGAGGTAATGTTATTTGAGATAATGAAACCTACAAAAGTACCCAGGTTTAACAACAACAACAACAAAAACAATAAAAAAAATACCCATGTTTACAGCAGCTACGCTGTGGAAAGAGCCTAGACGCCCAGGCAAATGGATAAAATATGGTGTGTATGTATACACAACAGAATATTATTCAGCCATGAAGGATGAAATCATGTCATTTGCAGGAATATGGTACTTGAGACAATCATGCTAAGGAAAATAAGCCAGACTCAGGAAGTTAAATATTGCCATGTTTTCTCTTATATAAGAAGCCTAAAATATGAATAAATGCCAACATAATGTTGGTATTTACAAAAAAAGAGCATATGAGCAGCTACAGTAAAGAGAGGATCACTCTTAAGTATATGAAAGTATGATTAAATGTGTACATGGAACTCACAAGCATATAGGCCTTAGTGAAAACTGTAAACATTACAAAGCTTTCCCAATATCCAATACTGGTAAATCCAACTCTGCATCACATGTGATCTCTGTCAGCCAGATGAGGGCAGAGATGTACGTTGAAAATAAAATCATGAAATGAGGAATGACACTTTCTTTGCCCTCAGACAGCTTAGCATCAAGGGTAGATACAAAACACTACATTCACAATATTTCATTTGTTAATAATCCTATTCTGCTCTTTCACTTTCTAGGTTGTAAGTTTTAATACTGAGAATTGAAACATCAGCATTCATTTGATCTTAAAAACTGCAGGCCCTCCTAACGATTAGGGCAGGGGAGACCTTAGCACTATCAGGAGCTAAAGATAACCTTCCTTTGTATCTTCAGAAAAAGAAAACATGTTTCAGCACCATGAAATGATGAAGTAATCCCTTACACATTCAGACTTACACTGTAGTTCCATCTTGTGAAAAGTAACATTTATAAAATTAATTCTGATTGGCTGTCTCTCTCAATAATGTACTCCCATGTCAGTTATATTTATAAGTGACACATATATTTTTTGAAAGCAATAATACAAGTTTTACTTTTATTTTACTTCTTTTTCCTTCCACATGTACGTAAGTCAAATAAATAGAAATCTCACTTCTACCAGCTTTCTTATTAAGACAGAAAAATGAGTTATAAGAAAACTGTAATTTTCAAAATCATATTTTTATTACTCAAATTTGAGTCTTATAAGTTACACATGCTATACTTAGAACATCATCAAAAGGCAATACTTACTATAACTGCCAGGAGATTTCTCTTCATAAGTAAAATGAAGTTGTAACTCCTCCTCTGACATCTCACAGATAAATATTTTCAGCAAACAGCAAATAATAAACAAAGCATTATGTGTCTGCCAAATGAAGATGTGGCTAGAGGGGAAAGGACCAAAATCATATAAGAATCAGTATTTAATCATTAATATAACCAGTTTTTTTCTAGACCAGGATTTCTGCATGATTTGTCAATGATTTTGCCACCCTACTTGTAATATAAAAACAATGTCTAATCTCTTAAATTGACTATACTGGACCCGTGATACTATTGCATTTTACTGCCTATTTCACTTGTATCTTTTTTTTTTTTTTTTTTTTTTGGTAGCGGGGATCGAACTCAGGTCCTTGTGCTTGTGCAGTAGGCAGTGAAACCACTGGGCTAAATCCCCCGCCCTCACTTGTATCTTATATAGTGAGTGAGTCTACTTAATGATTGTATAATATCCTGAAACCAAACAGATTCTACAATTTATAATCTCACCCCACTAACTTAACTAAAACTTTTTAACTTTTTCCTAAATAAAAACAATAATTCCTTCACAGGGCTTTTCAAAAGATCCCAGTCCATTTACACCAATAAATAAAAAATATTCATATTGTTAGATATGAAGCAAACATGATTTAATCAGCCAACTTACTTCTGACATTCTGCTGAAAGTTTGAGTTCTTTGGTTCTAGAAAGGAAGACCTTAATTAGTGCAGCAAGATTTCCTGTTCGAGGATTGTTTTCAACTGTAAGAGAAGAAAATAATTTTAAAAGTTAAAATTAAGAATGAAATCAAAGGGAGTATATCATAACATTTATAAAATCAAATGTCAAACTGAAAGTGCTCATTGACCAACCATATGCCAATTTCATATCTAATTTGGAGAAATAAGCAATAAGAGAAATTGCTGTCCTTGGTCTACATTCTGAACATAAAAAATGATTTGCAAAATGAAAATAATAAAAATAATAGAAAAAGTAGCAACCTTATCTCAGAATCCAAAATTATAAAGAAAAGATAAAAAGTTAATAGATATATTCAATATATACACATACATTTATAAAATGTATCATTTATATTATGAATATATAGGATATAATGAACTACAGAAGTAAAACTGTTTGGATCATCACAAACCATTTTAATGAGGAAAAAATTCACACAAACAAAGCAATGTGTCTAGAAGGGGAGCTATCCTGATCTGAAAAAACTTTAAAGAATTTATCTAAACATCTTTATTTAAAGTTTAAAAAGGTAGGCATTTTAGCTAACCCAGCAAGAGTTGAGAGAAAAATTGGGAATCAAAAGATCTGGTTTCTAGTTCCAAGTAACTGGATATTAAGCCTCAGACAAATCATTTTACTCTTCCGGCTTCAGTTTTCTCATCTCTAAGAGAAACAATACCTAACGTATTGAAAAATATATACAAGTGTTTCCCAAGGATTACTTCACTTAATTCTCACAACTCTACAGGATAAGCACCAATATTATTTTCATTTTACATTTTTTTATTTGGTTACTTTCTCAAGGACACATCCTTGCCTACTGACTCAAATCTTTTACCAAAGAATTGGACTTAATGAAATTATAAAGTTCTGGAGTGGTGGGAGGAGAAGGGGAAAGGAAAGAAGGGAAAGAAAAAATTATGAGAAAAGAAAAAAAATGGGAATGAAATCTATGTAAATAGGGAAGGGTGAAGGGGGTGAAGGGCACACAGGTAATGCGGAAAAAAATAAGAACCAAGATACATCATGTACAGGTACAAGCACCCAATGATAAATGTAAATGTATTGTATACCTAAAATGTACCAATAAAAGAATAAAAAAAGGGTCCAGGGATTTAGCTCAGTGGTTTCGCCACCTGCTGCACAAGCACAAGGACCTGAGTTCGATCCCCGGTACCAAAAAAAAAAAAGAATAAAAAAAAAAATTATAAAGTTCTACTAGGCTACACAGCAAGTCACAGAAGCTCAGAAATCATCAAAGGAAGAGAACAGTTATAACTTTTAATTTTACTAATGAAGAAAAAAGCTCAGAGATTCAGTGTTAGACCCAAAGTCAACAATATACTAGTAACAAGTACACAATCATGTTCCTTTATCAATGGTCTTCAAAATGTGAGATTACACAGTTCTGGATTATTTGTTTCTCATTTATGGGTGTTTATGGTACTGGAACCCAGGGGTGCTCTACCATTGAACTACAATGCCCCCAGACCTTTTAGTTTAGAATAAGTTGTACAGAATAGCCTCAAACTTGCAATCCTCTTGCCTTAGCCTCCTGAGTAGCTGGGATTACATGAAGTGTATTTTTAACTATTTTTAAAATCCAAAATGCAAACCCTCCATCAGAGTGGCCTGTGTTGCCAGGAGAATTCATTTTTATGCAGATCTCAGAATTATGCACATATCTGAACTTCTTGAAATGTATTGTTATGGTTGGGATTCAAAATGTCCCCCAATAGCTTCATGTGCTGAAGGCTTGATTGGCAGCTGAGAAACTGAATGATTCAGGAGGGCTCTAACTTTATCAGGTGAATTAAATTCACTGATGAATTCATAGCTCAATAGGCTAATTAGCAGATGGGACCTAACTGGATGTGGCAGGTCACTGGGGCACATCTCTAAAGGGTATAACTTGTCTTGGGCTCTTCTCCATTCACTGTTTCCTGCTCCCACGGGGTGAGCAGCTTTCTTCAGCCACACCCCGCCCCATGATGTTCTGCCTAACTACCGGCCTATAAGCAATGAAGCCAGCTGACCATGGACTGGAACCTCTGAAGGTGAGCCAAAAGAACTTTCCTCCTTTGTTATTTGCAGGTATTTGCTCACCAAACATATGCATCAAAGATTTGCGTAGAAGGAGTTCAAAATACATATTTCTTTAAATCCAGGTTCTCACACATAGACTTTAAAGACTGTACATGCAGATAAATCACCTGCCTTGCCCTTAGTAACTGCCAGTTAATTCAGTTAACCTTTTGGATGTGTCCTCATCACAGCTCATCTTGATAAGTTGTCACAGCACCTTGCCATTCCATGTGCAGCCCATGAGCATGTGCACAGCATCAGCAGCATGTGGGCATCTGTTGGAAGCTCAGAATCCCAGGTCCATCTTACAACCACCAAAATGACAGTGCTTCTCTAAATTTAATTTAAATCACAGAGCATTTGTTTTAGTTGGGTGTGGTAGCATACTCCTGTAATCACAACACTGTAGGGGCTGATGTAGGAGGATTACAAATTCTAGCCCAGCTTGGGCAACTTAGTGACTTAAGGAGTCACTAAGGGGCTTGTTGCAACAGGGGTCGTAGCAGAATTTCAAGAGGCAGGAGAAACTAATGGGAATCAGGAGGATTTATTTTAGGTTTAAGGTGTACACCGGCTCAACAGAATCTTGTCTAAAGGAAAAGTGTTGAACAAAGAAAAGTTCCAGCTTTTATACATTTTGTCCAAGGAGGTGGTTATTCTAGTGATACAGCAAGTGAGTTTACCAGAACAGGAGAAGGGCAGACAGTTTTCTAGCTTTGCCTTGAAAGAAGACAGTGTCTTATGAATTATATGAGAACAGAGTGTCATAACCTTCGTTTACAGGACATACT